AGATTATAAATGCAAACAAATGTTATAAGGCATTTGAATAGCTACTAAAGTAGTAAGAAAGTCATTACGAATATTATAAATCATTAGACATTCTCAACTGTTGTGTCAATTTCAAGGGAAAGTATGTATTTGGACTAACAACAGCACCCACCCATTGAAAGTCCTACTAAGATAGAACAACTACCGCAGGGGGAGATAATGCCTCCTTCATCCACAGCATGCTCAACCATCTCAAGAAGGGCTTCAAGCTTCTTCATCTTCTTCGCGGTTTCTATCGCCTCTTCCTTCTTGATCATGCTTGGTATATAAGCATATGATGAAAATCATAGGCCTTAGCTCGTCACACAAGCAACCCAACACACTATATTCAATCAAATCATTGTGACCATGTGAGGTTTTGATTGAAATTATGATCAAGGGTTTTCTCACCCCCCCCCCCCCCCTTTTTGGTAAAAACAAAAGAAATTAATCAAAACAGACGTATAGAAAAGACGTGGATAGATTAAAGCAAAAGCAAAGAAAACAAATTAAAAAAGTAGATTATGGATAGATGAATTGGAAAGAAAGCGAGAGAAACTTCCCTAAAATGGGAGATATTCCAGAGGAAGAAAAAAGGAGGTATTTTGGAATACCTCTTTTGAGGATGGTGATAATTAAATTGGAATTAAGCTTTCGTCAAACCGACCCCAAGTCAAAGAAGAGGAAGGAGAATGAGATTAGTTTACACCAGCCTTCGAACACAGAACCAATGAGGCAGCTTTATATGTATTCAATAAATGAATATCCTACCATCAAGGCTGCGTTGGCCGGTAACAATGGGCTGCTTGTATAATTTATAAATAGCCAATTTAACCTCTATACTAGCACCTTCTATTTTATTTCATCTATTAAAATGATATAATTAAAATATGATGTGATGTCGCAATTTTATAATATAATGCATAGTTATATAATTAGTATTTTTTTATTTAAAGATTTACTTATGATATGATATTTTTTTTTGAACATGACTTATGATATGATATGATATATATATATTTATTTAATAACATATTACATTTATTTAAGCACAATAATTGATATATTTTTTAATTCAACATATTTTACAACACATTTATTAAGAAAGTATTGTTTTCATTTAAATTTGAATTTGAGACAGGAAAAGCTTCACTTGTAAAATTTAATGATTGAATTAGTGGATGTTGATAAATGTGTTAAACCAAAAAATGTACTGATCATTATCCTTTATTTGATGATATATCATAATTATAAACATATGCTTTTATGTGATATATAAATATAATATTACTATTTTATTTACTGCTCAAACCTATAATAATTAGTAATTTGTTCTTTTAATCATAGAGTTAAGATTCAATTCTTAATCTTAAAAAATAAAAAATAAAAAATAAAAAATAAAAACCCTATAATAACTAGCACTTTGCTTACTTTTCTTTTTCATCCGTGCTTCCATGAGTTCTAAAATTAAACATTTGAAGTTAATACAAATTGAAGCCAAATCCACTAGTACTTTCGTGTCCAACTTAATAAATATGAGATTTCGCAGGTTTTTACTTTATTTTATTTTTATTTTTAATTATATAATATAACTTAATTTTAAAAAAAATTTTAATTCACCCCATTAATATATTATGTTTTACTAAAATACTACATTCATTACAACGTCCGTTTTTATTTTTATTTTTATTTTTCTTTTTATTTTTGCCATACGTGTCTTTTCTTTTAAATCGGCAGCTTGTGTACTTAGTATATTTACATGTCACTTTTTTGAAGCCATTTGGTAGAATGAAAAAAATGTAGTGTAGTTAGGATGATATTGAATTGTATTATATTAATTATTAAATGAGAGTAAGTTTTTTAATATTAAGAGTCATTTTTTATTTAATTGTCTTTATTTTATAGTTTAATGTAGTTTAAATTGTAAAACAAAATTCACTTGTTAAAATAAATAACTTTAAGAAAAGAATATACAACAAAATTTGGGTAGGATTATGACTACCATATAAAATGTTAAGGTTACAAATATTTCAAAATTTTTTTCTTAGATAGTATTTTAAAATATAAGTTTATTAGTTGATTTTAATTTATTAATTAATAAATATTAACTATTCTATTAATTATTAGTTATATAATACTTTTTCTATTTATTTCTAGTAGATTTAATTTGTTTTTTTTTTCTTTTAAAATATGAATTTTGCATGAAAATTTAACAATTTATATTAACAATAATTAAATTTTTTTTGTCCCTATATATAATTTTTGCTAAGTATTTTTATTTAATAAAAAAAATTAATTGTTATTCATATAAATTGTTAAATTCTTTTGTTTAAAATTCATATCTTAAAAGTTAACAAATTAACATCTTAAAAGTCAAAAGATTAACATAAATCTATTAAAAATAAACGAAAGAAGTAATTATAATTATTAACCATTTTTACTAATAAAATTAAACAAAATTAATATTTTTAAAAAATTATTTTACCATTTTTGATAGTCATAATGAATGGTAGGCATGACCACACCCCAGATTTGAGGTTTATTACACCTCTCTAAATTTTGAAATTAATGTAATTCGGAGCATAAATGAGGTATTTTAGAATACCTCTTATAAGGAAAGATTCTGGGATTTTGGTATGTTTAACTTCCAATGGACACCTCACCAGCCTTCGAACACACAGAATCGCCAAGTTAGACTTCAACAAGGAATGCCCAACCAACAAGACTGTGGTAAGGCCGGTGAAATGTTTTGCTTACAAAATTAAACAAACCATACCCTGACCACTACACTACAAGTAATTCGGTGATCTTGAAGTTTGTGAGTACTTACTAATGGAGCCAAATTCCCCCTTCACCTATTGTGTCTCACCCAATAATTAAGTTTTGTCTTTTCCTTTTCCTTTTTCAAACCTAATAGGATTTATAATTCAAGATATTTGAGATTGTCATTTAGTGCTTAACCCTGTTTATATGTAGCATGAAAACTATCTAACCTTTCATCAAAATATGAAAACTTGAATAACCATGTTGTTACTTATTTTACAAATGCTATAAACAATTTAATAATAATTTTCTTCTAATAAAAAAAAAGAGATTTTGAATTAAAGTGAGACAGATTATATAAAAGATAAAAAAAATTATATTTTATTATACGTCTCAAGATTAAAAAAGTCATTGTTAAGCATAAATGTACTAAAGATGAGCATATGTTTTTTTATTCTTTACTATCCAAAAAAGCACACTCCCTCTGTTTATTTTTAATAAATTTAGTTTGAATTTTTATTTTTAAAAGATGAATTGTGATAAAAATTTAATGATTTATTTGAACAACAATTAAAAGTTTTTTATCTTTATATATAGTTCTCGTTAAGCACTTTTATTTGATCAAAAAAAGTTTTAGTTGTTATTTATAATAATTGTTAAATTTTCGTTTAAAATTTATGTCTTAAAAGTAAAAATATCAAATTAAATTTATTAAAAATAAATAGAGGCAGAACAAAATATTAATTAAAATTATTAAAAATATATTTAATTAATATTAATTAAAAATAATAAATTGACAATTTTAGATGAAAAGGATTTGGGCAAAACATTGTTGAATGATACTTAAAACTTTTTTTTTTTTGTTCTAACCTAGGATAACATCGTTTTAGAGTCAAAATAAAGGTATTTTAAAATCCCTAATTTTTCTCATTGTTTTCCTTAATCCCACCTCTCCTCGTATCTTTCAACCAAACTTTTAAAATAAATCAACTCAACTATCAAGTATTCTGAAACTAAATATAATACAAAAACAACAATTATTATTAAGAGTAAAATATTTAAAAATCAATCGAAATTAAATTATTAATAATAGTTAGTCATGGTATATATTCATATACACTCGTATCCTCATAATTTCTCTTCAACGTGAGATGTTAAGAAATATGAAAAAGATAGATGGGAAAAGAAGTTAAAATGGCAAAAAGTGAAGGTATTTTGAAATACCTCAATTTATAAATAATATACTACCTCCAGCTTCTTTCTTTCACCAGCCTTTGAACCCAAGACCTATGACTAAAGCATTCTAATATCAAATGCTCAGCCAACAGGCCAAGAGGAAGGTTGGTGCTCACGCCCACCGCTCTCTTTTACTTAACACAAACACTAACTGGTACTTAACACAAATATTTACTGGAACAATAACTACCAACCTCTTTTATTTGCCTAGAAATTTCCATATCTCTAAAACTCAATTCAATCCATAAACTATATGAAAATTTCGTTAGCAGTAAAACGAAGAAACCATTGCTTCAAAAGAAATGTTTCAAGTCTCTAAGTAATTTAGCTATAATTTATTGCGTGTCATGGTTTCTTTTCTTCGACATAATAATTAGGTGATGATATCATAAGTTAGCTTTTGGTACACCATATTAAACTCACTTTTTTAATTTAATCAAAGAAAAATTCTCCTCATAATTATATAGGAATCTTTTGATATCATAATAATGTGATATAATACATTAATTTTTCCACACAATATAATATACTAAATTCACTTTCTCATATTTTCGGACAAGTGATGAGAAACTGACCTTTAAGTTTAGTGATTTTAAATTTTAAATTGCCAAAAGGAGGTATTTTAGAATACCTCTTTTGAACAAGTAAATGGAACATAGAAAGCAGTATGAGGGTTTGTTTGGAAGAGCTTAGCCAGCCTTCGAACACGGAACCAGTGAGTTAGACATTTATCTAATAATAAATGCCAAACCAACAGAGCCGTGCGATGGCCGGTAACCATCGCCGGATGTAAATTTTTAAAATCAAAATAACGGACTTCAACTAATGGTTTGTTTCAGTTTTTTTTTTTTTTTTTTCTAAATAATTATTAATTATTAGTTCTAATTAAATAAATTGGATATTTTAAATTATAAATAACAATGATTATTGACTATCATAACTCATATATCAATTATATCAGTTATCAATTATATTTAAATAGTTAATCTAAACATCTTATAAAATCACATTTTTCATTTTTCCTTTAAAAAACAAAAATTCTAAGACCACTGTTATAAACCTAGCACTTTGCCTATTTTCCTTTTCCTTAAAAAAAATTAGTTCTTCTTTGACTCCTAAAATTAAAAATTTGTAGTACTAAAAGCTAAATCCTCTCTTCTACTTCCTTGTTCTGCCCTTTTTCTTTTATTATTGTTTGGGTTGAGGAGGTGGGGAAGGGAAGAGAAGGAAGAATAAAATATTTCTCTATTTAGTTATTAAAAAATTTTATTTTATTTTTTAAAATTTATTAACTTATCTAAATAAAGGGAAGAGAAGGAAATAGAGAGATAAAATTTCTCTTCTTTTCATTTCTTTCCATCCAAACATTTGGTTAGATAACTCTTTTTCTATTCTCAAGCAATCCCAACTCGCCCACTTGTTATGAAATTAAAACTTAAAATCTCTTATTCTAGATATATAAAAGAAGATTACAGGTATAATTATTATCACATAATTTTTTATTAAGGTCACATAAAATACTTTTTAAATCATTAAAAATAATTAATAATTATAATTGTTAATTGATAAAATAATTAATATATTTTTTTTGAACAGTGTGAAACTTTTATGGAGAAGGAAGAAGGGAACCTGTGATTTGATCTCAAGTTCGCTAGTTTTACGTGCGTTCTGCAAGAGGGTAGCCAGTAAGTCACCAAGTACGAGATGATAAAATAATTAATATTTATTATTTAATATAATAAAAAAAATTATAAACTAATGTTTGCCTTGTCTATGACTAATTTTTTTTAAAAAATTATAAACTAATAAAAGTAATCAACAAATACACCTGCCATACTATTTGCATCGTTATAACAAGAACCCGAGCCGTAATAGCTAAACTCAAAACATTACCACTAGACGGTAAAGTCATTGGAACTTTCTTGTCCCAGTTCACAAATTCTAACAAATGTCTTTTCTTTTAATTTAGAAGATCACATAATTTAGAATGCATCACTTATTCTTAGCCATCATAAAAAATTTTGCACTCAATTCCAACATTGCTAAGCTCTTTTTCTTACTAGCACCATATCTATTCACCTAAAATTTCCAATTTTCATAAAATTTAATATTATTATTATGAATCTATGATTAGTATTGAGCTTATGGAAGTGTAGCAAAACCAGAAAGGAGCTACTAATCTCAACACTCGCAATGCAATTTTAAGAACATTTTGAAAATCCATTGAAATAACATATACTTAGAGGACTTAAACAGATACTTACCACACAGCACTAGAAATTCTAGTTGCAATTCAGATTCATATATGGTGCTTATGGATAAGTCATGATGCTGAGTTTTGCAGAGTGGTCCATTAGAAATCTAGTGTTCTGGATATCAAAAAAGTTTTTTTTATAGTTAGCTTTACACATAAAATATCAGTATGAAGTTTGGAAGGACAAAAATACCTTAACGAATAAAGGATACGTAAAAAATTTATTAATTTTATCTCTTCTTACCCTGGACTGATACTTTTATTTGCAGGGTTGGTAAAACATCGATCTCTTTTTAGAAACAGCTAGAGCTTGATAACAGCAAATACCTTTGCCGCATGGAAGCCGGCGGATAAGTTCCAGATTCCTCCTTTCTGAAGCCTCTCAGCAAGATGGAAATCAGAGTGCTCCAGTCTCTGCTCGATAAAATTTGATGGTAATTCAACCACACGTAATGAACATTCATAGTCATCCACCAATATTTAGCCTTCTGTTTGACTGGATGAAGCCACCTTATTTGTCTGCATATGAGTATTTGTGCTTCCGTTCACTGTCTTCTAAGAAAGATTGCAGCTGCTGATAGCTCTCTTTGAGTGGGACTGGATGCAGTTATGCTATGCTCCGCTTTTCTTCCACATCAAACGATTCAAACCTATGGTTCTATTAAGTTTCGTAATGAAATTTGCTTCTTGTTGCTGATAGAGTTACCTGTACAATTACCTATAGATTTAGAATTTAATTCTTAATTTTTACGTATAAAAACAATAAAATTTGCCTCTTCTTTCTATTTTTTTTCTTTAAAAGAAAGTCAAGTCATGGGTTTTTTCTTTTGAATATAATACAATTACATTACCATATTATATTGTAAACTAATAATATAATATATTATTATATAATTGATTCTTTACATTTAGAGATTCGCTTAAAATATTATATATATTCACTCATTTAATTATATTTTATATTAATTTAATATTATATCATAATTATAACTTATAATTCTATATAACATTATAATTATATCATTATCATCTTTCTATTAATCAAGTGATATTGTGAGTTAGCCCTCCTACATTGTATTAAATTCACTTTTCAATCAACTCATCATCAACACAGATATTAGGGATCTTATGAGGAGATAACATAATATTTATATTTCACATCTCAACCAATGTAATGTAAAGAAGTTGTATTTACTTATTCTTAAAATTTATTGTTTTTAAATTTTAAAACACAAAAAGGAGATATTTTAAAATACCTCTTAAGAGAATGGAGGGTGTAGAATTTTTTTTTTTATATATTTTTGAACTAGTGCAATTAAGAATTCAAGAATGAGATTATTAAAACTTAAAATTTAAATTTTTAAATGTTATCAAGCTTTTTAAAGGAGGCAAATAACAACAATCTAAGAAATAGAGAATGAGATTGTTAAGATTTAAAATTTTTAGATGTTACCAAGCTTTTCAAAGGAGGTCAATAACAACTACTTAAGAGATAAAGAATGGGATTTTTAAGGTTGAAAACTTGAATTTTTAGATGCCACCATAGTTGCAGAGATCAATGGCAACTAAAGAACAGAGGTAGCCTAAAGGCGCGTTTGGGTAGAACAGTACCAGCCTTCGAACACAGAACCAATAAGTTGGCATATATGTTTATAAATGACACCCAACCACCCGAGCTGTGGGATGTCCAGTGACACCTCGTAGATGTAAAATTTCCAACACTGACTTCAACCACTGCACTAAGATCACATTCTTCTTTGACTCTTCAATTTAAAATTTTGAAGTCCGTACTAAAAGCCAGATCCCCTCTTCAACCCTTCTCTTTTTTGGGTTGAAAAGCCCATATTTCTACTTTGGTCTCACTTTACAAATTCTGTTGTGTGTCTTTTCTTTTCGTTCCTCCATTAGGATTAATTTAACTTTTTGAATTTTTGAACTTTAATTTTAGATAAAATTTTAACAAAATATATAAAAAAA